TTCATTTTCCAAAACAGAAAACGTGAGAAGAATGGCACTGTTTTACTTTTTTTGTAAATCCCTTAAATGCCCTGTTTAGTAGAACACAGATGGACTACCCGCTTCTGCATTCAATTTGTTGTGATAAATTGTTTTCTTTGATGCACATGAAGAAAATCTGTCCTCAAACAGACATGTAACTGGAAAAGGAAGGAGTATTTTAATAGACCTCTTGGACAATTGTTGTAATTTTTCTATGGTACGACACCAAACTCAATAGGGGGTGGTCTGTTAAAAGTTGGGTGCAATGTGGAATCTGAACTTTTCACACTCTGTTACAGTAAAATACACTTTCACTTTGAATGGATCTTTTACCCATGCACAATTTTCTAATACCATACATAGGTCATTTGGAAAATAACGGTTCCATGAGTTACGGCGGTCTTCTCAGTGTGGATGCTTTTCATGATACAATATCAAAAAAATCGCATTCATCAAAATCACCACTGATCTCATCAGAGAAGTCTTTGAGTAGAGGGATACTCTCAGTGCTGGATACAAATTTTTAAACTTTCACTTGAAAGCTCAAATTTTATTATGGGCAAAAAAAAAAAAAAAAACAAAACCACGGTCGATTTTCTTAAAGTGATAGATTCACTTCTTTCATTTTTAGGAATATGTGTGCCAAATATTCTGTCTGAATCAATAACATATAGTTTGTTTGTTAGTTGTTCTTTCAATTAAAAATAGTGTTCAATAGGGCAGGGGGAGGCAGCTAATTCAGTTCACAATTCAACAGTTACTCAAGTGCTTTTCCTTGAGATAAGTTAGCACTCAGTAGAAGTGCTTCACGGGTACATCCTATCTGTCACATAGAATATTAAAAGACTTGTGCTGAGGGTCAAGATTGAACAAAATTGACAGTCTGTCTGCTTCACAAAGACACTCTTAAGTGAAGCTGGCTTTTTCTTTCTCTTTTTTACACATGTGTGGTAGTGAAGAATACTATGATGACTAGTATAATCTGGTGCCACTGCCTTGATTCATGCTTGATGCTTGATTCATGCTACATCTCTGCTTTTGCACTATCATCAGTGCAAACGTCAACATAGTGAAAAACACACACACAAAAACACAGCATTATTAACAAGAACACAGCTTTGACCTTGCAGACTCCTTGGTATGGTCTTGGGGACCTAAAGATTCTGCAGACCAGATTTTGAGAACTGCTGCTCCAGATAATCTGGAGAAAGCCAAATTCGGCAGCTGGCTGCTCAGTCTGGCAGCCTGTTGATCAATTACTGAGGCTCATCAATTGCTAGCTCATCAACAGGGCAACAAGAAAAAAAGTTGCCCATTGTGTCATGAAAGCAGTCAACAGCTCAATAAATCAAGTTTTAGGAAATAACTTCATTAAACACAGCATCAGAGAAGTGTTTTGTGTTTCTATTTGTACCCCTCATCGGGGTTTTTAACAAGCCTTTAACCTCTAGAAGACCCAGCTATGTGCAAGTATGTATGTGCAGTAGGCAAAGAAGTACTGCTGTGTACTTTGTTCCTTGGCAATCTCGGTAGCAGGGTGGGGAAAGGCAGAAGTAGACCTGGAACCCAGCTCAAAAGGTTCATTTGGGTTAACATGGTTTCCCAAATCTTACTTGGCACATGTCTTCTATGTGAGCATTCCAGGATAGAGGTACTCAATCAGTCCTCCAACTCCCAAGGGCATGTTTTTCTTGTACCACTTGAGATAGGACTGTGAAACCTGCCATCACTGTGACCCATGGTCACTGACCTTGTACCATAATGTCAGGGCAGGAAAGGCCGTTAGACAATATATATACATATTTTTTTTTCCTTTGTTTTAAAACAAACAAACAAACAAACAAATCACTGCCATCAAGTTGATTCCAACTCATAGTGACCCTAAAGGACAGAGCAGACCTGCCCCCTATGTGACCCTATAGGACAGAGTAGACCTGTCCCATAGGGCTTCCAAGGCTGTAAATCTTTACAGAAGCAGACTGCCACATCTTTCTCCTGCACAGTTGCTGGAGAAAGTTTTGGTTGGCAGCTGACAGCTTAACTATTGTGCCACCAGGGCTCCTCAGAATAAAGTATACACTGGAAAATGTCCCAATTCCCAAACAGGCCCAAGGAAGGTATTTGTGGTCTGTTCTTATTTCCAACAACAAAAAAATACCCCAAACCTGTTGCCACTGAGTTGATTCTAACTCATGGCCACCCTATGTGTTACAGAACAGAACTGCTATACGGTGTCTTCTTGGCTGTAATCTATACAGAAGCAAATCACCAAGCCTCTAGTCCACAATGCCATGAGGGAAGAGGGGAGGCACACTGCCAACTTTCAGGTTAGTAGTCCAGCACAAATTATTTGTGACTTTAGAGAAATCATTCCTTTTCCTGAATCCCTGAGTGGCACAAATGATTTATGCTTGACTATTAATCTAAAAGGAGCTCTGGTGGCACAGTGCCTAAGGCATTCGACTACTAACCAGAAGGCTGGCAGTTCAAACCCACCAGCCACTCCTCAGAAGGAAGGTTGGGCAATCTACTTCCATAGCGATATCGCTTTGGAAACCCAAGGAGGGGTCTCTGTGAGTCGATTGACTCGATTGACTCGACAAGGGCAGTGAGTTAGTTAGCTACTAATCTAATCCACTAATTTGCATTTCAAACTCACCCACCCAGTGGAAACACAAAAGAATAGCCTGGAAATCTACTTTCATAAAAATTTCAGCCAAGGAAAACCTTAGAGTGTTTTTGCTCTAACACAGGGGGTCACCACGAGTGAGAAATGACTTGACAGCAAAAGCGTTTTTATTTTTTTTTTTTTAAACTAGGTATCTATCACCCAATGTGGGGAAAAAAAATCAGAATAGCTGTGGGTACACATCACCTTCCTGAAGTTGCTAGCTAGTCTGTTTTGAGCTTCAGAGTAATCACTTTAAAAATGAAATTTTAGACACCATACAGCAAGCTTTGCATAGGCAAGTTGATGCCTGAGAACAAGAAGGAGCAAAAACAGGAAGGGAAAGTATACAAAAGTATTTCACAACAACGAGAGTGGCCTCTGCAGGGAAGCTATTACTGTTGCTAGTTGCCTCTGGAGCTCCTTCTGCCTGAGGGTGATACGTTAGGGGGAAAAGGGAAGGAGAGTCCTCACTGCACCAGCTGTCCTCTTAGCAATCTTTCCCATCAGTGAAAACTGTAAGCAAATGCACATTGTACAAAAGTAAGCCACCTGATAAATAACCTATAAAGACTGAATCTTTGTGAGTAGAAATAAGCTAATGATGGAGAGAGGTTGGCAATGTCAGCAGACTATATCCACCCCAGTTCACAAGGGAAAATGCCCTGCATAGGGAGAGACTGTAGCCAGAGGGAGGTGAATCAGTGACAGGCTCCAAGAGACAGCCCCATGTCCCCTTGGGCAGTCAAAGAGGGCAGCCCATAAGACATAAAGGACCTGCAGTAAATCATACCCAACCCACAAGGGAACACAGAAAGGTTGACAGTTAAGCCTGAAGAATGAATGAAAGGGCTGTAAAAGATGGGATGCTGGGGTCCAGAGGACATTTCTGGCCTCTGCTGAGGCTGGGGCTGGGGGATAGCTGGGAAAGTCAATGGGCTAAAAAACCCTCCTTTGAAGCTTCTAACCCAATGGTAAGACCAGACATAGCATAGCTTAAGAGTGGAGTCCCCAGTTTTATTTTATATTTGAGGCCCACAGAGGGTTGGACTCAACCTAGATGAGTCTTGGGATTCAGTTCATAAGATAGAAACCCTCCTGACAGACAGCAAAGCAGATCTCCTCTTCTCTAATAACCCCTTGAATCTTTTAAGTGCAAGGGAAGTTCTTCCTTCCTCTCCTCACATCTTCAGCCACATGAACTGCTTGTGTGGTGACAGAGACAGAAGTCTGGGGCAGACTTTGCAAAGGAGACTTCCAACTGGACATGGTCTTTGAGATTCTAAAACATGGTTCTAAATGAAGAGACTGTCCTCTCTAGAAGCTTTTCTCAAGTCCAGGCTCTTACTCAGTCCAGCCTTTTGGGACCAACACAGCTGAAACAAACAGAAAATAAGAAACAGACAAGAAAATGGCAGGCATCCTGCTCCAATACATCTCAGGGCAGTCACTCAACCAATCTCTTCATATCTTATGTTCCATATGAAAATGCGGAGTTGATGAAACAGGGGAGGGAAAATAACTCTAGGAGAGACTGCATTACTAATACAGAGCTTAGGAACATGAGTTCCCCAAACGGTAGAAGGTAACAGCAACTTACGTTGTGCCATTGCTTTCCCCAAAACGCTGGTAGGAGCCTGGGGTGAAGTTGCTTAGGCCTTCGGATGGGCTCTCCTCCGGACTTACATCAGTGGAGCTGTAGTCGTGGTAGTCCTCATTCCGAAGCCGCTGTGTGGACATGGTATCTGGGGAAACAGGCTCAGTGTTAGGGCCACCAGCTGCTGGGGCATTTAGCTCCAAGTCTGGGGTGGGCTCTGGGACTGGAGTAGCCATTGTCACAGTTGCTCACGGTGACAGCTGCACTATGGATTAAGTACAGTAAGAGTGCCCGGTACTGAGGGCAATGGAAAAGGTGCAAAGTACACATGGGCGGGCTGAGCTCATGGGCTTCTTCCTCCCGACCTTCCCATTCAGTGCCACGCTGATAAATGTCTAAATTTGCCACAGCACACCTGGACAGAACACAGGTGAGGCACTACTTGGAAGGGGTGGGGAAAGACACAGATGGGTGATTTCAGAAAACATTCCCTATTCCTTAGGTTGTGATTAACTATTCCTTCCATTGAGCTAATTTCTTGGACCTTGGATAACGGTTAGATTTTATATACATCCATCTTCTCCAAGAGCAAGCTCTCAGAGGATAGGGGCCTGAATACTCTTCATTGTACCCTCTTTGCCCTCTGTATTCATTAGAGAATCTTGTTGAATAAAAGAAATCCCCCCCGATCACCCAGTTCTTCTCAGCTAAACTCCTGCCAGGTCAGGAGCCACCAATCACTTTCTTCTTCTCTTTGCCATGACCTCAGCCCCCTCCTATACTGTTTGGAGCCACCAGTGGCTCTAATCCCCTGACCTGAGGAATCCTCTCTTCCAACCAAACTGAGGAGTGAGAAACGGCAGCTGACAGCAGCTCAGAGGAAGACTAGGGTAGGAGCAGTGCTCCTGCCAAGCTTTGCCTTAATCTCCCTCCACTCTCCTTTTTCCTTTTCACTCTTACTGACTAGCTTATGTTTTAAACATTGGTGAAAGAAGAGACCCTTGCTGCTGTGTCTTGGGGAAGGGATGGTGAAGTGGTGTCTCCTGGGTGGCCTTTTTTAATAATGCTACTACAAAAAAAAAAAAAAAAAAAGACTTCCCTACGATAACAAAATGACTTCCCTAAGATAACACAATAAGGATTCATTCTGGGAATCATGTAGGCTCTCAAACCAGGCTAGAATCCTAGAAACCAGTGCTAGAAGATCCCTTGGAGGTACTCCCAGTTCCTTATTTTACAGACAGGGAATCAAGCACCAGAGGAAGTGGTCTGCCATGCTACATCTCGGTCACATAGTAAAGCAATAACAGAAGGCACTTATCTCCCAATGCCCTGCCTGACTCTGGAAACATTAACTGAATACAGTGCCAGGTATTATGAGGGAATATAATAATGAAAAGAGTCAGCTTCTTGCCCTCCAAGAATCTGCAGCAAAATGAGGAAAAAAAGGTATATTAACATTAAAAATTAAAAATAAGAATCCTTCTGACACTGAGCAGACTGGCACAGCTGCTTGTTTCAAAGGAGTTCTCATCCATACAGGGGTGGACAGGGTGGACATCCGCTCTGAGTCTGCAGTGACAACTCAGACACCAGGTGGGGACTCCCACCCACAATACCCAGTCCTGCCCTGGCATCCAAGGGTCTCTGGGGGACCCTTCTGGGAAAAGGCTCTACCCTGGCACCTGAAGGAAGTGATCTCACTCTCTCTCTACATCTGTAATGCAGGAAGGACCCCACTCAAGTTCACAAGGAAAGTACTTGGCAGAAAGCTAGTAAAGGGCCTGGAAATACCAGGTAGGATCCTACCTAGCTTCACTTGGCTAAAAATTTAAGAGGGCTTCAAGGATGCCATCCATCTCTGGAACAACTAAACTCATAAGAAGGGCCAGGAAAAAACAAACAAACAAAAAAGCATCTTTCTGCTGTTATAAAAAATATGACATTTGGTGATTCAACATTTTTCAGGTGGACAATTTAGTGACATCAATTACATTAATCATGTTATTCAACCATCACCCATGTTGTTGTTGTTGAGTGGTGTTAGGTGGGTTCCAACTCACAGCAACAACATATGACAGTAGAACTGCCCCATAGGGTTTTTGTGGCTGTAATATTTATGGAAGCTGATCGCCAGGTCTTTCTCCTATGGAGGTCTTGGGTAGGTTTGAACTATAAACTTTTCCATTAGGTGCTGAGCACTTATCCATTGTTCCACCAGGGCTCCTTCTATCACCCATAACTGCTGACAAATTTCCCATCGTCATAAACAGAAACTCACTGCTTCCTAAACAGTGATCTATGAAGTGTCTTAGTATGAGCAGTGAAAACCAAAAAAAACTAAACACACCGTCATGGAGTCGGATCTGACTCATAGCAACCCCTCCTTGGGTTTCCAAGGCTGTATCACTATGGAAGTAGATTGCCCAGTCTTCCTTCTGAGGAGTGGCTGGTGGGTTTGAACCACCAGCCTTCTGGTTAGCAGTCAAATGCCTTAGGCACTACACCACCAGAGCTCCCATGAGCAGCGAAAGCCTCTTGATATTCAGGTAAAACCTAGTAAGTTAGTTTCTATGTATGTCAGAAGCCTGGGTTCTAAGCCTGCCTCTATCATAAGTTTGCTATTTTCTCTATTTACCTAGATTCTTGGTTTCCAAATATTTAGAAAGAGGCTGGGTATGTGTGTGGTGTGGACTAAAATATCTCTCAGCTCTTCTGTAGCTCTAGTATTGTAGAAATCAATAAATGTAATTATTTATGAAACAATATGGCTATTTTCTAGTTTCTTTCAATGTATCAAAAGTATCTGAAGACTACAGCCTCTAGTTGAATCCTGTGTATTACAGAGGGAGAATGAGCAGGTATGGGGCAGATATAGGGATGGCAAGTTCCCCAAAGTCCTTCTCATCAACCATATTTATTTATGCATGTATAGAGACAAAGTCATCCACTTTTAAAGCAGAATACTGCAAAGAAAGCTGCTCAAAAAGAAGCTGGAATCTATAGATCTAAAGTCCAATAAACAACGGCAGGATGTACAAGATGTGGCTTAGCAACCACATGCATGTTGGGGAGAAAAAAAAACACATCACTTATGGGTTCTGGTTGATGATAAGCTCAACAAGAGTCATGATACAATAATAGATAGCAAGCAAGCTAATGCAGTTCTAGGCTGCATTAGGATGAGAGAGAATCCAGGTAGATGATAGCACTGTTCAGTATTGACATGCATTGCATTCTACTCTAGGCAGCATATGATAAAGGGAATAATGACAAACTGTAGCACATACAAGGGTCAGCACCAGGATCAGGAGGAGGATAGAAACCAACTAAATGAGGAACAGCTAAAAGCACTAAGAAGGCTCAACCTAGAAAACTATCAACTTGGGAGGTATAAAAACTCTCCAAAAGCTGTCATATGGATTATGCTTGTTGAGTGAGGCCTCTAAGATTAGTCAGAGCTAGGAGCAGTACCTGGAAAGTAAAGGGAGGCAGGCCTTTGGTTAGACATAAGGGAGAACCTTCTATCAAAGAGAGTTGGCCAAAAGGAACAGATGATTCCAGGATAGTGTGTCCCCTGTCCCTGGAAATGTCTAAGCAGAAGCCCTTTCTCAGAGTGTCATGTAGGGATCCAAGCACTGGAGCAAGGGGACACAGCCATTCCCTAGAGTTCATTCCATGGGTCCCTTTGGCAACCAAGGCTTCCTGCTCTTGCTCTCTAGCTGTCCCCATTAAGTGCTGCCCCCAATGGCTACTTGCCTCTGGGCTCCCTTTGATGAAACCTGGTTCCTAAATCTACTGCTACAAATTGCCAGTTCCCTGCCCTGTGGGAGATTTTGGTAGTACTTGTTAAGTGTCAAAGGAGCTACTGGTGTAGTGGTTAAGTCATTTGGCTGCTAAGCAAAAGGTTTTTGGATCAAACCCACCACCCACTCCATGGAAGAAAGATGAGGCAGTCTGCTTCCATAAAGATTTACAGCCCTGGAAACCCAGTGGGAGCCCCTATGAGTCGGAATTGGCTCGATGTCAGTGAGATTGGTATTAGTTGGCAACTGTCAAAATGAGGGGTATAATGTGTGAGAGTATAAAACAAGCTTGCTTTGGGGTTGTTTAGGAAAGTTAACAAAGCTTATACTATGTGTGGGCCATCAATACAAAGTCAAAATCTCCATAAGATATTTGGACCCATTGGCATAACATACTACACAAAAACACTGTTCCACATCCTGCTTTGGCGAGTAGTGACTGGGATTTTAAAAGCTTGCAAACAGCCATCTAGATGCAACGATAGGTCTCTTCTTATCCAGAGCAAAGAAGAGTGAAGAAAACCAAAGATGCATGGAAACAATTAGTCAAAGGGACTGGTACAACATGCGATCCTCAGCCTATATGACTATGAAACTAAAAGAACTAGATGGTGCCGGGCTACCACTGTCAACAATGCACAGGGGGATCTAGGCAGGAGACCCTGGATAGAGGGGGAGAACAATGTGGAACAAAACACAAAATAATTAAAAAAAAAAAAAAAAAAGGGACCAGGTTTGCTGGTCTGATAGGGCCTGGTGGAAGCCCTGACACTATAGCCCCAAGCTGCCCTTCAGGTCTGGAATTGAACCCACTCCCATGGCTTCCAGACAAACAAAAGACAGGCATATGGGCTGAACATTTACATTAGGTAGATACACTCCTTGGAGAGATCAATCATGGGAGAATAGAAGGGCTGTGTATGCACAGGGAGACAGTTCAGGGGGTAGGAGTGCATGGGAGGAAAGGATACACGGAAGAGGTAACTCTGGGGAGGAAGTGGGAAGAGAGCTGTTGCACTGTGGGAAACTACAGCGTGTCCTGAGGCAAAGTGTATGTGAACTTCTGTATGGAAAATGAATTTTCTCTGTAAACTTTCACCCAAATCACAATAAAAAGATATTTGGACCCACAAAAGTGAACTACTAAGTTACAAAAGTTTGTGTAACTTCAAGTGTACATTCAACCAAAATTGCATTGAAATATCAACTATTTATATAACCTTGATATATTTTCTCCTTTTCCCTTATATAATTATTTTTTAAGTTATCAATGTTCTCATGTACATTTTAAGTTTTACTCTTTCCACTTATTTCATATCTACTCTTCCTTGAATCTA